GATTGAAAAATTTGACTTCATATCTGTATATAGTACACAGATATGCATAAGATCGTCATTACGTAATGACACGTGGCTTCGTATACATTTATAAAGCGATATATTGGATGACCTTTATTTCTGGATGTTCAATTTCTATGAGAAATTATCCCTGTTTATCTGTAAATTGTTCTGCAAATATTATCAGTCCCCCTCTAAACAATAAATGCAAACTTATCTTAGTCAAGTTATTAAAATATGAAATTTGAAAAATAGTGAAGGGTTATTTTGAGACCCGCATTTGCTTGAGGATGGCCAAGAAAAGTCATTGTACCCGACGAAATCCCCAAAGACGAAAGTCGAACGGGAAGAAAATAAATAAATTTAAAAAATATATTATCAGTTGAGATCTACTCGTACGTATTTCTTTTTTATTAGTAGAGTTACTGACTGTCGGTCAAGATAACTGCAGGTATGCACCGCAGGCCCTTTGTTTGGGCTTTTCAATGATGTCGGAAGTGAGGACAAAAATTGCAATATTATAAAATTACGTAACCCGTCTCAAGCGATAAAATATGTGTTGTTCACTTCTAATTTCATTAAATAACTGAATTTGTCAAAACATTGTCTGCTTGTATAGAAAACACTTGGCAACACAATTTGATTTTAGAATTTACGTAGTATTTTCCTAGAAGCCTATCTGGGTGGATCATTTTTCATATCAGATAAATGTTAGATAAACCAGATATAACTTTATCATAATCGTGATCTCGTAGCGAATTCTCTTGCTGAATAGTAATTTAAAAGTGAATACTATGTGAATTCAGGAATATTCAGAAATGATTTTATTATATAACCCATCATTGTACTAAATGAAATAATGCAGAATACAATTACATTAGCGGATGATACAGCTGAACTCGCCTACGTTTACAAGCATACGCCTGGGATATGGATTGTCGAGGAAGTCAGGGAAGATAAAATATATTGTAATGTAATCTTACAAGAGTGCATTACTCTATCTCACAAGGGCATACAGCAGAAGAGAAGTTCAAAATTCCAACGAGCTTTTATCAGTGTTGAACTTTTCTGGAGATTTGGGGATTGATTTTATTGTATTGCATTATATATTTTTATTTGATCATAATATTTGATTTGATTTGATTTGAATTTGAATTTGCCTTATTTTACATGGCGAGACTGCCACGTTTGCCCATCTCTTTATTGTTTTTCTTTACGATATATATCCGACTACTATATTTTTTCCTTCTTATACCCTATAAAATGTAAATACAAGTTCTCATGTACACTTTATCAAATTATATCGTATTGTTTTAATACATATTATTTCATATTTATTGCCAACTCCATTCATTTATTACTTTTGGAATCGGAGAGGAAAATCAGAAACAATGCGAACGGTAGGGATTGATCTCATCATATAGGAAACTGATGCAATTATCGACGAAGCCCTGTGGACAGAAAATAGGGCAATGTTCTTCTATTACAATATTGATATTACTATGGCAAGCGTAAGGTGGTCAGACTTTAAAAATCAAAGAACGGGACATTGTGACTTTCTCTTTGCTAAAACACGGACCAAAGCGAGACATGTGCACATAACAAAATTTCCGTATTCTTCAATTAATATTGCTTGCTATGTCGCGCAGAAACTCACAGAAGCACAAGGTGCGGATTATTCCATTACTCGGTAACGATATCGGTGGCGAATAATGCGAAAGCTCATTTTCCTTTCCTAAAACCACGATTGAATCTCTCCCTTCTTGATTCCAATAGTCTGTGAAATGCTGTTACGCGTTACATGAGCGTATACGTTTATAATAAATAATGCAAACACAGCGGAATACATTATGATAAGTTTAAAATTGTTGACGATAATTTATGCCGATTAGTCGTCTCAAAAAACGGGACATTTTGACATTGCGTTTTCCTTTCAAAAACTACGGGACAGGGATTCAAAAAAAGGAACAGTCCTGGTTAAAACAGGAAGTCTGGAAACCTTAGATAAGTGATATCATCATACAACAAGAAGTTTGCAAGGGAACCCAATCTGTTCGCAAACAAATTACAGGCACGGGTTTCTGTTAGTGCATTTGAACCTGCAAACAACGGCAGTATAATATGTGGATAGGTGTTATTTGCTTCGTGGCTCACGAATCTACCCCGGTTGTGCAGCCATTTTGCCAGTTCGTTCGCGCACAGTTAGCTCATTTGTAAACGGCTTCATCACTTTCTCTTGAAATGTCATCTCCCTGCATTCATTTGTTTCCCGTCGAGAAAAAGTGGTCCCTTCTTAAAGTAACTCCTCTCTGTAAACGGCACCGAACCCGTGGCCGAAGAGCTAAAAGCACTGACCCACTGCGACGAGACGAGACTTGACAAAAAAGGTGAACGGAGGATTACTTCACGCGCTCAATGCACAAGAAGGGCTTAAAAACATGTTGCGTCGCCGAAGACGCAACAAATTTAAAAACATCTATAACGAGTGTATAATGTGCTGAGGTCTATTCTCACTTGAATTCTCTGGCAGTGGCTGTGAGTCTCAAAAAGAGATCCACAAGAAAATGATAGCATAGCAATTGTTTATGAATAGTTACGATTGGTTAGTATAGTCTGTAAACCCTTTGAACTGCCTATCACTACATAAAGATCATTGGACCCTAATCTTTCCGGCCATACCTAGAGTGAATGGATTCGATTAATGTATGTTGGGTGTTGATGTTGATAAGATATAAATGGTAATGGAGAAAGAGAGAAAAGGTGTAAAGAGACGCAGGAGAATCGGGAAACTCTGAGAAAATCTGCCGCGAACCCGGTTTCTCCATCAAGAATTGAACATGAGTTTATCGGGATTCGTAGCCAGATATGCCCAGAGGTGGAAAGTGGGCGATGTGACCAAAACTCCACAATTGTTATCAGAGTGTTTACAGGCAAATTTTCTGGAGCACCAGAATCCCTATTCCTACTCTTTTATCAGCATTATATAATTAAGAGTAACTGATAGCAACAGCGTTGTTGACAAAATCTGGCAACCAGAAAATTTGACTCCTGCATTGAAAATATGCTACAGAATTGATATAAAAGACGTGCCATCAAAATAACCAATTCCCTCCCGAGTTCTACGGCATCTTGTGAAATGAGGGCTTGAGAAACTGCGTACGTATAATACTCCCAAAATTAGTGGCTCCGCGGAAAATATTGTACAATCGTGAGGATTTGCTCTGAAAGGGCAAAGCGGCGTTGGTGGTATAATGGTTAGTGTATCGGGCTGTTATTTCCAAGTCTGCAGGTTCTAATTCGAACAAACCAGTGGATTTTTAAGGGCGAAAAAAATCATCCGTACTTTCTTCGGGGGGGACAGTAAAGCTGTTCATGCAGTCAGTTCAAAACTACGCGGACTGTTTGAATTGCGCGTCTCCAGTTGGTTCCAGAGGAATTCGCTTGATGTCGCTAGGTTTCCTCAGATCTGCTGATTACGATGCCATTTTCAGATTGTTGATATCTTCATTTGTTTATTAGCTACGTGGTTTTTAGTGCAGTGCGATTTTCCCGTTTGGTGGATTTCAAAATGAATGACCCGAAAGTTCAACGAGTTGCTGTGAAATTTTGAGTTAGACTAGGAAAATCTACGACAGAAACTTTTCTATGCTTAACATGGCGTACGGAGATGTTGCTATGAAACGTATGGCATGTTTTAAGTGACATAGACATTTTAAAGATGGCTGACAGTACATTGAAGATGATGGACGTCCTTTCACGTCAGCTGACGACATACACGTTAACAAAATCAACACTGGTGCGGGAAAATCTACGTCTGTCAGGGAGCTTCCTGAAGAGTGTGAGATATCAACTGGATCTTGTAACGAGATTTTGATTGACAAATTGAAGATACACCGCGTTGCTGTGAAATTTGTGTCGTGCCTGATGACGGAGGAACAAAAAGCCCATATTGTGCAGCTTCAGCAGGAACTGTTTGATCGTTCAAAAGAAGATAAATACTTCTTGGCAAGAATCATAACCGATGATAAATTATGGATTTATGCTAATGACATTGAAACAAAGGTCCAATCGTCCCAGTGGACGGGTAAAACGTCCCCCAGACCCAAAAAAGCTCGCCATGTTCGTTACAAGGTTATGTGATGCTGATAGTTTTTTTCTAAGGGTGTTGTTGGGTATTGTTGGGTGTTGTAAGGGTGTCTAAGGGTGTTGAGCCTCGCCATATTAATAAACGCATATTATTATTATTATTATTATTATTATTATTATTATTATTATTGTTCACCAAGCGTATCTCCTAGAAGGATCCGCAGTGAACAAAAATTACTATACTGAAGTTCTAAAACGTTTGACGGACGCCATCCGCCGGAGAAGGCCAGAAATGTGGGGGAGTGGCGACTGGTGTTTCCATCATGACAACGCTCCAGTCCATTCAGCCCTCAGAACTCGTGAGGTTTGGGCCAAACACACGATCATTGTTTTTCTCCACCCTCCCTACTCACCTGACGTAGCTCCTTGTGACTTTTCCGTGTTCCTCAAACTCTAAAGACACTTCAAAGGAAGATGATTTGAGTCGATTCCCGAGATTATGTCAAATGCGACCAAGGAGCTGAGGGACATTACAAAATAAACGTACCAGGACTGTTTCAACAAGTGTAAAAGTCCTTGGGATAAGTATGTGTGTTGGGAAAGAAAGTACTGAATGAAGGGAATCCAGAACACTAACTTGTAAGTAAAGTACATTGTGTTTTACGACATCAGTCATTTTTTGAACAGCCTTCGCATGTTGTAAATCCACAGCATGTGAAAGATCCTCAAGCCTTAAAGAAGACTGAGCTACATTGAAATCGCTTGTTTCGTCGCCCGCACACCTTCGTTCTCCGCTACATGGTGAAAGGAGCGAAGCGAAATTTGTGTGGTTCGATAGAGCAGGCCTGGTGGCCTGAGTCTCGCCACGTAAAAATAAGGCATCATTGAATTGAATAGAACCGATAGATGCTCACCAGCGAGATGACCGCGCCCGCGGCCATCCACCGCTGCGGGTAGCTTTGGTGCTGTCGGTCGCCGTTGAGAGTGCCTCCCATGCTGCCGCCGGTTGGTGGTAGCTTCCGCTCCGCAGCAGCCTCCGCCGCCGCCGCCGCCGCCACGCGCCCTGCGCAGATAAGATAAGGAGATGGCAGCGATAACGCCGCACCGCACCAAGCCAAGCGCACCACCGTTACTCAGAAGCGAGCGCCGGTGCTGCGCAGCGGCCGCTTGGCGAAGACGTTTACAAACTAGTGGTGCTAAACCAGCTTGTACTTTCTCGCACGTAATTTCACGGAAAATTACGCGATAAGTACTCAAATTTTCGAAAAATTGTACACGACCTTATTTCAAAATTAATCTTAAGGAACGGATTTCATTAAGGGAAAAAATCTGTTTTCATGATTGTAGTTGTAAGCAAACGCCGAAAAAATTTTGAATTTTTTTCATTTTCGAAAAATCAGAGTTTTCAACGATAATGTGTCTTGCTCCATTCTCTTAAACGCCCTTCATACTATCCAACAACAAAAATTTCATCAAAAACAACTGAGTCACTAAAAAAACGAAAATATCCCAGGGGCCTAATGTAAACTACCTCCAAAATTAAAATATTAGTTTCAAATTCAAGAGGTCGCAACATCAGCCAAATCGATTGAGTAATATCAATTTTGGAGAAAATCGGCTGAACAGTTTTAGACCAGGGGTGTCCAACTTGCAAGACCTCAAGTGCCATAACTAATAATATGGTTTAATATGTTTTTTATGGTTATGGTTTTTATGGTTTAATATGGTTAATATATATTTTCATTACTCGGGCGATCCACATCTGACTTCTCCATATTGCACACCTCACCACTTTACCCGGCTGCTCTGGACCAGGATAGAGGAAATGGAACCATTCGAGATACCAGGCCGCAACATGCACATTGGGATGATTTTGAAATTACTAGGAAAAAATCTTAAATCTGAACTTCATCTATTTTTACATTAAAGAGTGTGTTGACCCTAGCAGGATGCGTGCTCCAGGCGCGCAATGCTCTCGCCCGACATAAATGACAACGACTTTCAATTTTCACAAACAACCTTTCGCGGTCCACAATATATGTCATTGCGGGCCGCCAGTTGGACACCCCTGGCTAATACGTGGCTACACCACGAGTAAGAGCATCTGGATTTATCCACTTTTTCATGACCATGTCTCTAATACAAGTATTTCTGCCGAAAATTTGTTGTTTTTCGCGCAGCAATGCGTAACTTTCTCTACACTGCGTAACCGGTAGCGAGTTAGTAAAAAGCATACGCATGCGCAGTCTGAACATCAGAAGGGACTACGTTTTTGGTAGTGATGCGACATTGATCACGAAACATCAATGTTGCCAAACATCCATGATCAAAATTAAATTAATAGTACATCGATCAGTAACCATCGATGTTTCTAAACTTCGATGTTTAAAAGCTAGTTTAGTACCTTCCAACATTAAATTTATGATCAACAAAATTTAATATGAGAGTGGCCGTATATATTAACTTGTAATTTACATTTAACCAAAAATGTTATAAAACGCCTCCTTGTGCGAAATACGAGGAAAGACGAAGGAATTACCACTACATCTAGATCATCTCGGGCGAGGGACAGTCCTCTCGAAGATAGTACGAACAGCGTTAGTTGAGTTCGAACACATAATTATCAGATACGATCAGCTCATTATATTTTAACTTTTACGATGTCATAAATTTGGGAATTTTTCTTTCACAACGTAAAAATATCGAGAACTTAAAACATCGAAAAACATTGAAAACGTAAAAACATCGAGAAGAATACATCGATATTAAAAAACATCGACTTCACTACATCGATGTTTAAAACATAGATGATTTTATCAAAACATTTATGTTATGAGAACATCGGCATCGATGTTGCATCCTTAGTTTCTGAGCCTATTTTTACATTAAACATCTTATTTACCCATGTGCCATTTCTCTATTAAAGATATAAAATAAGACTACAAAGAGAATTGAATTATCTTTGAATTGAACTTCAATCATTTTTATTAATACAAATGTTTTTTGTAGAATTATTTACACGTTTGCAATCTGGAAAGATCCTCTTCGGCGCGGTCGTCAAACAAATTCCGTATTTTACTGTTTTTGGCAAATTATTAAAATTATTGTGAACAAAGTATTGTGGTTAATAATTCTGTTTGTAAAAAAATGTAAAATGTTGCTTCTTTTTCGACGGTTTCTCCCCCTAAGAGTTTGCCATTTTCGATTTCCATATTTTTCTGTCCTCCTATTGACGTTCTTCTAATTCTTTCTCCTCCATTACTTCCTCTATACTATAGGCCTTTCGGGTCTGCCTCTTCTACGCCTACTTTCAGGTATCGAATTTAAAATTTGTTTTGGTCATCACTTAATTTGCATCCTCTGAACATGTCCATACCATTGAAGAGTTCATTAGGTTTAAAATGTTGTTTGTGCATAAAACAATAGTGTTCGCTAATGACCTCAGCCGATTCTAAGGATGGATAAAATAAATACGGACCTATGCCTCCTTTATAAGTGTATTTTATTATCATTTACAAGAAATTTAAAGAACAAATTTGGAGCGGTTTTTGAGAAATAGTTCGAGGGGCTGGATGTAAAGGAAGTATAGTTCTACGTATACGAGAAAGTAAAAAAAAAACACAGTAAACTTGTTTTCTGTTAAGGGAGGACTGTACCACGAAAAAGATCAAGTAATCGATTTTGTTGGTTTTGTGTTAATTCAAACTTTGCTCTTTACAAATATATTTACACACTCACACACTCAAGAATTTCCGAGGACGCATAAGAATGAACCAAACAATGGAAATTAATGAATCTACGCTTTACTATTTATTTTCAGAAAACTCTGAAAGAAATGAATCTGAAGACAACTACTGTCAACATTATTCACAAGCCACACAAACTATTCAAGAAATGAATTCAGAGGGACAAGTAGTAGTTATTTTATATCAAAATGATTCAATGAATGAGCCAATAGCACAAAATCAAGAGGAACACTAAGGCATTTATGTATTAGCAAAAAGAACTTGAAGACGATGTATCAAGTATACAGGGCACCGGATGAAAAGATAAACTAGTAGTATTGTTGAAATTAACTAGTAGTATAAAACGAGTTCAAACAATAAAGCTTCTTGCTAAGTGCTCGAGTGCGGTCACCGTATTTTCGAAATCTAGTTCGTTTTTGTTTTCTATTACCAGCAATTGTCTCTATACAGAACTACTACAAAACTGAAGTGCCACTGGAAATTAAAGCCAAAAGTATGTGCAAGGGAAGTGAACGTACCTGACCCACACTACGCATAGAATTATCAAAGTAATTTTTATATAGAGTTCTATTAAACATATATTTAATTAAGGTAAATGAATTGCCTATGATTTACTATATAACAGTGTTCTGACTTTTGAAAATTACATTTGACATTCGATGGAGCAGCAATCCCCGGTTTGCTAGGGCACGAGCCGCCGCTGGATTGGTTCGGTCAAAATATGACGCATGACGATATTATAAGAACAAAGATGTGCCTTCGATACGTTGATAATGTGAACGCAGCATGTGATAAGTGGTCAATGCCAAACAAAGAAAAGCAACAGGTCGAGAGATTATTTAAAATTAAAGACGAAGGATACCTTCATTTATAAAGACGAAGGATACCTTCAAATATAAAATTTAAATTGGATAGACGAAAGGGTTCCAGTTCAATCACAAAAAAGATACATAAAATAAATCTTGCAAAAATGTAAAATGACTGATTACAAACCCGTAAATACACCTTTTGAAACACGCCTCAAACTGAAAAAAGCAATTTATCATAAAAATCCAGACAGTGATAAACTCCTATATAGTGACAGTGAATTAATAGGATCTTTGATGTATCTTACAACTGATACAAGACCTGATATCACCTAAGCAATAGGTTATTAAGTCAACTCACTTGTTATGATTTATTAGCAGCCAAAAGGGTATTTAAGTACCTAAACGGCACTCGTGTTCTTCAATACAAACGAAATGAAAATGTTTTAAAACGTTTTGTTGAAACGACATAATAAAATAAGGAATCTTACTCAGGGTATGTGTTTATTTTGGCAGACGCAGCAGTAAACTGGAAGGAAAAGAAGAAGCGGAGTAGATGATATCGTTACAGAGGCTGAATACCAAGTTCAAATGGAAGGAATGAAGATGACCAAATCTATGTGAACAAATAAAATAGAAGTTTCTAAGATTTTAAAATAACTGCCTTTTTATAGTCTCATATGCTTAATTAGATATTTTCCTTCTTTTTGTCCGGGGTAAACCCTGGAAATGCTAAATCGATTTCAATATGTTTTGTTTTTTTTTTTACTGAAAGGAGAGAATTTGGTCGGGCGTAACATAGCTAACTTTTTAAATTATTTTTTTCTTACTTTGTTGTATACATACGTAGAGCAGAGAAAGATATGTAGTGCTGCAGAGAATGGATTTTGAGATTTTAACGGAAATACACGTTTTCGAGACCCTTTTTACCGTAATTATTTTTTTCAATACGTCTGTCCGTCTATGAACAACTAGCGCCAAAACTATTCGTAGATACTGTGCCAGAATTAATATTGACCTTCCAACCTGGACCAAATCTTACGCTTTTAAAAAATATTCTTTGAATTTTGTACGTACTTTACACGAAGCCCCAAAATTTTATCAAACACGGCTATTTCGGATAGTGTTAAATGCATTGACTAGCGGGACAGAAACGCCACTTTTAATGTAGCATTTGTTGTTGTTGTTTTTTTTTTAATTACACAGATGTAATGTTTTTGAAATACTTCCAACCTTGTTAATATTTTACAATACGGGCGTTTTGAACAGTGAGAACAAGAACATTTGTGAGTATAAGTGATTTAAATAATTTCTTATTAAGTTTTTCAAAAACTCTTTTATGAGCATAAAAAAACATATTTAACACTACCCTAATTATTCTTGAAGTCATACTTCGTTTCTACTATTAAGAGACCGAACATTAGAGAAAACGTGAAGAGGAGAATATAGAATTTTTTTTAGACAGTTTCTTGTAAAAGCGGTTCTTTTAAGACATTCAAAGCGTGCGTAAA